AGATATAAAGCAAAATCAAATAAAATACAGAACACAAAGGGATCCAGTGCTGGGCCTCTGGGGGAACACAAATTACTAGTAAATACCCTCTGTTCTGTGTTTCTCAGACTATGGTACAGGCCTTGCTACTCAATGTATGGTTCCCCAACCAGCAGCCTCAGCAGACCCAGGGAGCTTGCTGGGAATGCAGACTCTCGGGTGCCACCCCAGAACTTCAGAATCAGCATCTGTGCTTCAGTTAGACTCCCCAGGTGATCCACATGCACATTAAGAAGAATGGCATGAAATATGACTTGTGTCACACAAATAAGCATTTCAAAATCTTTTGTTACGTATTTTTAATATGGGTCAGAAAACATAACTAAGCCGGTTTACTCACGAGTGCATGGGTATTATTTCTCCAGATAAGTCTAAGAAATGTGAATCTGTTTAAAGTTGACTTAAAGGAAAGTATAAAGGGAAGATGTGCCCTCCCCATGCCAGACACAAACTGAGAAAATTGGAAGAGGGAGAACACAAAGGACATAAACTAAAACTATGTGAAGAAGGAGGAGGAGGAGGAGAAAGGGAAGAAAGAGGAGGAGGAGAGAAGAAAGGAAGAAATACAAAGGATTCTAGAATGACATTTCACATATTTATCAAAAAAACAAAACCAAACAAAAACCTAGTAGGGCAGAACTAATAGCAAACAAAACAGAATTTAAGGCAAAGAAAATTCCGGGGAATGAAAAGCGACATAATGTACAGGCGCGGCCAAATTTTCTCCCTGAATCTACCATTTTCCGTTTCCAGCGGCAAAGCGAGCGGATCCTTCCGGGGAGCGCTTCTCCCCGGGCCCGGGGATGGGGCGCGGTGCTTACGGCCAGCGCAGCGCGAGGAGCCACAGGAAAGGGAAACGCCGCGGTTCGCTTCAAAGCCCCATGGGTCTCCACGGGGGCCCCCCCCACTGTGTCCCCCTGGAGGACGCGCCCCCGGAGCTCAGCAGGTGCCACCCCGGCCACCCTGTCTGGGACCTGCAGCCTGTGCCCCCAGAGCTCAGCAGGTGCCACCCCGCCACCCCGCCGGCGACCTGTAGCCCACGCCCCTCGCAGCTCAGCAGGTGCCACCCAGGCCACCCTGTCAACGACCTGCAGCCCACGCCCCTCGCAGCTCAGCAGGTGCCACCCCGCCACCCCGCCGGCGACCTGTAGCCCACGCCCCTCGGAGCTCAGCAGGTGCCACCCAGGCCACCCTGTCAGCGACCTGCAGCCCACGCCCCTCGCAGCTCAGCAGGTGCCACCCTGGCCACCCCGCCGGCGACCTGTAGCCCGCCGCCCCCGGAGCCCCCACGCCCCACTTCTGCTCTGTACTTATCCTCCGCGGCTGATTTAATTTCTCTCCAGCACCGTGTTTGCTTCCCCCACCGTGGCCAGCAAAGCTGCTCGGCGCCCCAGGGCAGCAAACAAGAACAGTCCTCCACGACCCTGTCCGAAGAACCAACTGCCCTTCAGTTTCTCCCAAGGCTGTCATTAAAGACTCTTGCACTCAAGGAATCAGGTGCGGTTACCAATTTCCAGGGAAATCAGACATAGTTTCCCTGAAAACAAAGAAAGAAGGAAAGGAAAAAGAAAATGCTTTCTATAAAAATTTTTGTAAAGACTTCTTGAAATTGTTAATGGAAGCTCTTGGAATTCAAGGTCATCATTTTTAAATCACACTGAGTCCTCTGATGGAATTCTCAGAAACAAGCCATGTAGGTAGTAGCATGGTCCCTGTCACGCTGCCGATCACCCCCAGCCCCAGAGCAGCTAAGTGACTTGTCCGGTGCCAAAAACGAACAAGAGAACGGGTGCTTCGAACCTAAATCACTGACCTCCCCGCGGTAAGCTCTAAGGCAGCCCTGTTACTCCTATCATCAACAGCACGGTTAAGGCTCAAAGTAGTTATAACGTCTCATGAATCAGCTTGGATCATTTAGTAAACTCTATGATTAATATGAGCAGAAATTTCAGACTTGATATTTCTAGTCCCATTCTGGAAATTTTCTTTTTTTTTTTTAAGATTTATTTATTCTTGAGAGTCACAGACAGAGAGAGAGATGGAGACACAGATAGAAGGAGAAGCAGGCTCCCTGCAGGGAGCCCCATGTGGGACTCGATCCTAGGACCCCAGCATCACGCCCTGAGTCAAAGGCAGACACTCAACCGCTGAGCCACCCAGGTGTCCCATCCCCATTCTGGAAAAATCCTTATGCATGGTTCCAGCAATAAGCACATCAGCAATGAGAAGACAGCTTATCATTACTACCGATCCAGGTGATATTACTCCCTGACAGGCCGGCTTCTGGTTCTTGGGCTTTGGCTTTTGCAGCTGCTCTCACCTGATGCTCTAGAAACATTTTCCACTTACAGCTTGAAATTAAAATTATCAAAGAGTTTTAAAAGCAGTTCAAAAGCCACATGCAGGGCAGCCCCGGTGGCTCAGCGGTTTAGCGCCGCCTGCAGCCCAGGGTGTGATCCTGGAGACCCTGGATCGAGTCCCACGTCAGGCTCCCTGCATGAAGCCTGTTTCTCCCTCTGTCTGTGTCTCTGCCTCTCTCTCTGTCTCTCTCTCTCTCTCTCTCTCCTCTCTCTGTGCATTCTCATGAATAAATAAATAAAATCTTAAAAAAAAAAAGCCACATGCATCCTTCTCTCACCATCTCAGAGTACTGCCTTTCGTTGTGGCCTGAATGGCCGGAATCTAGGTATGGATAAAGAGAAGCAGAAAAAAACCCACACCTTAATGGGGAAAACATCACCCAACTATTGGAAACAGTTTAATGTCATGAGGTGAAAACAAAACAGTGAAAAGCTCTCTGGTTTCTAAAGTCGCCAGCAGAAGAAATGAGTGAAGAAGGCAAGGCTCAAGCACAGACATATTTTACTGTGTGTGTGTGTGTGTGTGTGTGTGTGTGTTTTCTATTTGCTTTCCCTGCCAGAGCCACATCCTATTTACCAGTATCTGTACACATGCAGAAAAATGAAAACAGACCTTGCTTGCTGCAGGCCAGAAATGAAGTTTCCTTTTATCTGGCACCACATAGCTTTTCGAGGCATGTTCCTAATGGAAGCAATCATTCACCGATGGGTTTCATTTTTTTTTTGTTTTGTCTTAAAGCATTCACCAAAAAAAAAAAACCTCCAAAACAACAAAAACTATGAAAGATTATTAGTATCTTTTAAACAATAAGGAATTTTTCAAGCAGCAAATATATACCCAAATCATTTTCATGTGTTTTTTTTTTTGTGGTAAAATACCCATAACATAATATTTACCATCTTAACCATTTTTAGGTGTCATTATTAATGTTTTTAATAAAAATAAATAGATTTAGGAATATAAAAAATCCTTTAAAACATTTATCCTTTTTAGATACTACTGTAAATATTTCTGCTGTCTCAGAAGCCGTGTACAAGATTTCAGGCTTCATCTTCAGCATAAAGCTTTGCCCACTGCACTCCTATGGAGTTAAACACAATTCAGATGCATACCTGGTCATTAAAAATACATTTTCCATAGGAAATGTGGCTTGGATAAATTATATCCACAGGTCATTTTTTTCAAAGCCTTATTTCATCCTCATGTTTATCAAATATTTTGCTAAAATATTAGTGAAAAAAAAAACAGTATCTACTCATGTCTATTCTTTGGAGTGTGAGGGTAGAGAGGGCCAGGGTGTACAGAGTAGTAGGGTGGAGCAAGAGAGTCCCAAATGGATGCAAAGAATCCATAGTTATCTCTCTGAATAACCAAGACTTGACATATTATGGAATGAAGCCTCTCATTTTCAGCTGTAAAACAAAACAAAACAAAACAAACAAAAACAGGTCTCTGAAGGTCACAAGTGGCAAAAATAAAGTACTGAAAAATGCTCCCACTTCAGTTTCTGTTGGGTGATTTTACCCCAAAAATTCTATACATATGTTTCACTTAGGCTCCTGATTATTAAATGCTCGTGACTGTCAATGGCAGCACAAAATACAAATCAGCAGTTAATCACATGTTAAAAGAGCAGAAAATTCTTCGAAATGGTTCTTGAAGAAGCTCCTGTTACCCGATTAAAGGGAGGGTTTTTAAAAAGTAAAGAAAGAAGAAGAAGGAGTAGGATGAAGAGGAGAAGAAAGAACAAAGCAGAGGAAAAGCCCTTTTATTAAAGGCCAGTCAGCCAACTCCAGTTTAAAATCGAATTCCATGTACACTGTTTTTCAGAAACACCCGTTCTGGCATGTTCTAAACCACATGCCATCTCTGGCTGAGAACACTAAGGCAAAACAGGCCAAGCCCAAGACGGGTTGGCAAACAAACACAAGCCAAGTACACTGGGGAGAATTATCCAGTATTTGCCTACAGCATGTAATTGGCTCAGGTCTACACTAAAAATTGCTTTCAAGGAACACGGTTCAAAGATTGAGTTTCTTTTTGCTCTCCATTCACGATAAAATATCTGACATCTTTTGACATGATTATATCAGTTGCAACACACATAGTGTCCAGTCAGTGGTACAGATTCAAGTAATCAGAGGTATAGACTTTCTGGTCTTTGAGGAGCCTGGAGACTCAAAACAGTCGTTACAACAGTGAGAAACACGATACACGAGCAATCTCTTATCAAACAAAAACCTGGCTCTGATGGCTTTGTATTGGAGACTGACATAAGTAGTTTGCTCCGTGGGAACATTTTCAATCAATTGCCAAATGAAAATGGGAGTCTTGAGTCTAGGCCAGAAATGGGTTTCTTAGCTCCTTGCCCAGTCTTGGCCAAAACCCTACTCAACAGCAACTACAATCTACAAATCAACTTAAAGATCTCGATCCCTGCCAAAACTTTATGTCTACAGAGCTGACTCTATAAATAAGGATGGGTGATCATCAGCCAGGTTGAAACCGGATCCTCCACTATCCAATTCTTGGTTTGCATTTTATAAGGTTTATGAGTTTGTTCACTTTATTTCATTATGAAATCAAATGAAAAATCTCACCTTGTGATGCCCAAATTCATTCAGGATGGTTCCCAGCTTTCTGGTGTTGCTGTGCGGTTTTTGGGCAGCAACAGCTGGATGAGGGTCCCGCCAGTCGATGGACAAGCGGTGATACCACAGGCGCTGACTCTCCAGAATATGAGCCGACTTAACACTAGGATCAAAACGATGTACTTCACATCCACTGTTGGCCATGCTAACCTCAAATTGGGTATCCTCACTCCCTAGCCTATAAAGAAAGAGGATGGAAATCAGTAACAACAAAAATATAATGAGGCAAAAGTGTTAGATTGACAAAATGACGATTCTAAGGCCAATTTTCTTATTCTTATGGAGCTTTCTCCGGTTTTAACACATGACTAACTGTGCCCATTCAATAAACCTTCTTCTTTCACAAAAACCATTATAGCTAAAAGCTTCTGGATGAAAAGCAAGCAGAGAAATTATCTGCTAAATGCAGACCAGAGAATCACATGTTCCAACATGTAGAGGCATACCAAATTAATTTTTTAAAAAGATGTAAATCAGAGCAGCAACGAAACAAGACTATCCAGTAATCTTAAGAGGTTTTCTCAGAATACGTCAAAGAATAGAAGAAGTGCCAGGATCAGTTCCCTTAGGGAGAGGTACAGTCTACTACTGTGGTAATTTGTCTCCATTCTAATGGCCACGATGCAGGCAGCCTGACCTAAAGACAATAGGTATTTTCTTAGAAATGGAAGGTATTTTAAAATCGTACAGTTAAAGAAAAGGCAACTGTGTGTGGTTCTACTCAAGAAGTAGAAGAAATACGTCACCTAAATTCACGTCAACAGGAGGAAGAAATTATGAATTATTTGTACTTAAGCATCCAGTATGTAGCATATCATGTGGAACGTTCATATACTTACACATTTTTAATTTACTCAGACGTATTACTCAGACGTATTTGATGGAGTTATATTCATCACTTTAAGAATCGATTTGAATGAAAAACATGAAATTAAATGAAAGAGGATTATTTTTTAAATGGTGATTATGGCTTCTTTGCCCGAAATACAGTAATTAGATGTGATTTAAGATACCAAGACCTCACAGAGTATCTATCTATAATCCATTGACCAAACCTGAACCTAGTGCAGAAATGTTTCATTCTCTTAGACTTTACTATCTCAGATATTTCATAATTTGGAAATATGCAAGCTCATTGGCTAACAATTACTTACCCACCTTTAGTTGACTAAATAAGTCTTCAGTACAGAGATCCTCCACCTTGACATTTTTTTTAAAGATTTTATTTGTTATTTATTCATGAGAGACACAAAAGGAGAGAGAGGCAGAGACACAGGCAGAGGGAGAAGCAGGCTCCCTGCAGGGAGCCTGACATGGGACTCGATCACGCTCTGGGCCGAAGGCCGCGCTAAACCGCTAAGCCACCAGGACTGCCCCACCTTGACATTCTTATTATACTCTTAATTTGCCTTATTTTTCTCCTTTGCTTCTACTCCATTGCCTGTTCCCTTTCTGGATCTGTGGCATGTCAACCCTCTGCTGTCCCTCAGCTATAATCCTCTCCACACTCTTGGCTAGAAGATTTAGCACTCCTCTCACAAACACTACCATTCCTTTGACCCGAGAGATCCTATTCCTATTTTTCATCTCTTACTGAATCCACACAGCCCAGACCATTGTAATGTCTCCTAGTTTTCTACCCAACTTTTCCATTATCTAATCCAGTGTGGCAAGTTGACTTGCTGGCTCCAATTCTTCACCCCTTCACCCCTACTACTGCCATGCTATGCTAATTATGGGCAGGGTGTCTTTTCCTGCCCCTTGATTTTTTTTTTTTTTTTTTTTGGCTTGACTATGTGATTTGCTTTTTGGAAGGAAGTGACAGTATGCCAGTCCTGAGCCTACGCTTTAAGTACTTCTGTTCACTCTCTTCTATCATCCTCATGAGGAAAACATACCCTGGATAGTTAGCTGGTCTCAGGACAATATGAGTCATGAGAGGCCGAGGTACACCAGCCAAACCACCAGCTTTCTATGAAAAACAATTGTCCTTGGCCACGTCACCTTGAAGTTGAGTCTCCCAGGTGAGGCCAGCCCCAATCAACTGAAGCCCAGCTGATTGGGAGACATATAAGCAGGAATAAATAATGGTTTTAAGCTACTGAATTTTAGAGTGACTGGTTACACAGCAACAGCTAACCTATAAGCCTACCATGAATTATAAATCCAACAGTTGACAGGACGCCTGGGTGGCTCAGTGTTTGAGCCTCTGCCTTTGACTCAAGTCTTGATCCCAGGATCCTGGGGTCAAATCCCATATCAGGCTCCCTGCAGGGAGCCTATTTATCCCTCTGCCTATGTCTCTGCCTTTCTCTCTGTGTGTCTCTCACAAATAAATATATAAAATCTTTTTAAAAATAAATAATATTAGTCGAAGAGTTGAGTAAAAATGACAATGCATTTTTTAGCAGATAGATTTCCTTCTGCATAGATCAGAATGTTGCCAAATTCACTTGCCCCAAGGGATTTTTCACTTAATTGAATATGTTGAAACTTAGATGAGCAAACCAGTGTTCCACTATGGGTCATCTATTAGAAAATGACAGTTTTGAAAACAAATAAAAATTTTAAAAAATTTTAAATAAATAAATAAGAAAATGGCAATTTTGTAGCTTTACTAAGAGAACACTGTGTCAAAAAAAAAAAAAAGTACTCATTAGGGGCACCTGGGTTGCTCAGTCAGTTGAGCATAAGCCTTCAGCTTGGGTCATGATCCCAGGGTCCTGGGATTGAGCCCCACATCCAGCTCCCTGCTTCATGGAGAGCCTGCTTCTCCCTCTCCTTCTGCCACTCCCCCTGCTTGCACTTGTTCACTCTCTCTCTCTCTGCCAAATAATAAAATCTTTTTTTAAAAAAAAGGTACTCATTAAATATAATTTGTATGTAAACTTTCTAGAGTAGAGAAATTTGAATAATTTCTTTCTCTGTGAATTTTCTAAATATTGTTTTCATGGAAACAATCTCTACTCTAAAACATGTATTTTAATCAAGACTTCAAAAAATGTTAAGGATTAAATTAAGCACATACACTTCTGTAACTAAATTTCTTAGCAAGGCTCTTTATTATATATTGATATGTTTTCAATTTAAACTAGTTTGTTATAATGAAAAAATAACAATACACACAGAATTCAAAGACATAGATAAAATGAAAAGTAAAAGCTTTCTAGCACTAAAAATTTTGGCCACTAATTTCCAGGGATAATCACAATTAGCATTTTTTCGTGTATCTTCCCAGAAACTCTCTACACATGTACAAGTGTTCTCTATTACAGCTATCATAAGCACGTATACAAATTTAAGTTCATCATCAAATAGCAAGGAGTGATTTTGTATGATACACTAAATAACATAAAGATACTGAAATTTGTAACTTTGGGGTTAATTTGTTACTTTTACTAAATAAAATACACTTAATATGTAAGCGCACTAAATTGGAAAGTAATAAACTGCATTCATTGAATCAATGTCTATAATTCTCACTTTCATTTATTCAGAATGGTACTTCTTCAAGCTTGGTTACATCAGCCAAGTTTATGGTAGGTGTAAAAGGCAAGAGGAGGGCAGATGTAATATTCATAATTGTTGCAGAACTTGTTCCAAAATAGTGAAACCAAGAGTCAAATCCAATCCAGGTGGTTCCAAAGCATGTGCTCTTTACACTGCACTTCACTGCCAATGAACACAGGACACAGGCTTCTAGAAGGAATCTTTGTGACCTTAAAGACCTAGGAAATAGTTGCTAGAGTAAAGCTCTGTAGGGAAGAGGACTGTGTCAATCTGGCTTAGTTTTTTTTCTTTTTTCTTTTTTTTTTTTTTTTAGCCTCAAGTTGTTATTTGAATTTCAGTTAGTTAACTTGCAGTGTAATCTTCTTGCTTATTTCTGGACCCCAAGTGCTGAGCAGAATGAGTGCTGACAGACAAATCTACAAAATGCTGCCCCAAATGAGAGAAAACTAGAAAACTAGGTAGGATCTGGAATTCCCACAATACACAGCACAGTGTCTGGCATGGGGTGGGGCAGGCTATGTTTTATGTCTTATTTGTGTCTATAAACAAATATTTATAAAGTGCTTTAAAGGACACATGAGGGGGTTCAGTAGGTTAAGCATCTGCCTTCAGCTCAGGTCGTGATCTCAGGGTCTTGCGAACAAGCCCCACCTTGGGTCCTCTGCTGAGCAGGGAGCCTGCCTCTCCCCTGTCCCTCCTCCTCCACTCATGTGCGCTCTCTCTGTCTCTCAAATAAATAATTTTTTTAAAAAAGGACTTTCATATGTTTAAGGCACTATAGGAGGCACCAGAGACAAAGAGATAAATTAAATATAACCCTTGATCTGGAGCTCACACGTAGTAGTGAAGAAAGATTTCTAAACAAATAACTACAGTAAAATAATGAAATAACCAAAACTATTGCTTACAACAACAAAAAATGTATATAGTCTGGAAGAAAATCATTTTCTGTTCTTGGTTAACTGGAAAGAGAACTCACTGTAGGAATTTTCTACTTTATAGGAATGCTCTACTTAATGTTTATTCCATGAAGCAAGAAATATAGATCAAAAGGCTTCTATCTCAGGGTCTAAGATAGTTGCTCCATTTCCTGCCACCACATCTGCATCCTAGCCATCAGGAAAAGTAAAAGGGGAATGAAGGTCATGTCATTTCCTCTTAGGGCATGGCTTCCAAGTTGCACACATCACATCGACTCCTATCTCCTTGCTCAAAGCTAGTCGTATGGCCACTTGCAGCTTCAAGGAAGGCTAGGGTATGCAGTCTTCAGCGAGGTGCCAGGTGCCCTGCAAAACTCAGGAGTTCTCTTACCAAAGGAAAAAGGAAAAATAGACCTGAGAGAAGTGAAAACTTATGTCCACACAAAAACCTGTACATGAATGTGCACTGCAACATTATTCACAATAGCCCCAAAGTGGAAACAACCCAAATGTCCATCAACTGATGAGTGACTAATCTAAACTATAGAATATCCATACAATGGAATGTCATTCAGCCATAAAAAGGAATGAAGTGCTGATACATGTCACAACATGGATGAACCTATATGCTAAGTGAAAAAAGCCAGTCACAAAAGGACACAGGTTGTATGCTTCCATTCATATGAAATGTCCAGAACAGGCAAATCTGGAGGCAGAAAGTAAATTAATGGTTTAGGACAAGGGGTGAAAAGTGGGAAAGGTGTTAGAGAGAAATTGGGAATGATAGCTACTGGGTATATGACTTCCTCTTTGGGGTGATGAGAATGTTCTAAATTTGACCGTAGTGACCAAAAACCAAGTGTCTGTCTCAGAGGAGTGAACTGTATGGTATGTGAACTATAACTCAACAAAGCTGTTTAAAAATAAAATAAAATAAAAGCAAATACAGGGAAGGTTTCTAACTGTGACCACTAAAGCATAAGGGTGGGAAGAAGGGAGACAATTGCAACCCCAGGAGTTTCGGTAACTTATTCTCCAGCCCTGCAGGACCCAGAGAATCTGGGCAAATGGTGATCTATTATGAGATCTAATAGATAATTATTATCTAATTATTGAGGTGATTATGATTAGATCTGTAAACTCGCAACTGCTAGAGGGGGAGAAATGGGTTTTTCAAATGAATAGGAGATAAAAAACATGTTAAAATGACCAGTTTTTGTTAAAGAACATTGCATGACCTGCTAAGATTCCATCTAAAATATATATTCTTAGGGCGCCTGGGTGGCACAATGGTTAAGCATCTGCCTTCAACTCAGGGTGTGATCCTGGGATTGAGGATCGAGTCCCACATCAGGCTCCCTGCATGGAGCCTGCTTCTCCCTCTGCCTGTGTCTCTGCCTCTCTCTGTCTCTGTCTCTCTCTCTCTCTCTCTCTCTCTCTCTGTCTTTCATGAATAAATAAAATCTTTTTTAAAAAATAAAACATATATTCTCAACAAGGGCGATATCACCCCTCAGGTGACAAAAATTCATTCTTGAGAGCCAAGGAAACTTCCTCTTTTTACATAGAAAGCATAGATAGATCCATACATTACATAAACATATACTTTATGTCATTAGTATTTCCTGAAAAGGATCCTTGGGTCCATAATTTTCTGATTCCTCATTCATATATCCCACGAGCTCCTGTTGTGTTAATTAAACCACTATCAGTTGAAAATGTTTCCCTCTGGAGCTTGTTCATTCCTCACGAAATGCTCATGGCACCCAGAAGTCCCAGCTTTTCTGTGTAACATACTGGTTGTTGCCTAACTACATGTCATCTATCGAATGTTCTTCAGTCTTATGCTGAGCACTTATGCCTGCAAACCAAATGGGGCCACCTGCCAGAGAACTAAAAAAGAGATGAAAAAGATTTACCTATGTGTTATCTTCCATTCCCGCTCCTACCCCTGAAATAACAATCTCTGACAGGACAGATAAAATAGGTGACTTTTCTCCCCATTGACTTTAGCTACCACCCTCACCCCCCACCCTCACCCTCACCCCCACCTCACACGCGAGGGGCCCGGCCCAAGCCTTCAGGCAGACAACATGATCATCTAAACCCGCAGCACCTCCTTTCTCTTCTCTTCCCCGTTCCTGAAACAGAACCTCCCTGCACAGCACCTCCCCCACCTTAATTGGTCTATCCCACCCCATTTCAAAGTTGAAAAGGATTTGATTTTAATTTTCAACTGAACTCCACACAGAGTGCACTTGCCCAGAAAGATGCTTTTTTACATTAACTGTGGAATAAGAAGCTTTGACTCCTGGTGAAGATATTCCAGACTCTGAGATGAGGTGGGCGTGAGTCCTGCTTTAGCTCTTAGGATGGAGGAAAGGCAAGGACCAGATCAGAAGGCAGGGCATGCGGCCTTCTATCTACTGGTCCTTCTGTCCTCAGATCCCCTTCCTCCTTTCTAGAAAGATTGTCCTGAGCCTCCACTTTATCCATCATCCTCAGTTTGCTTGGGAACTACCAGGCACAGTAGTGGCATGGTCTTGCTGCTGCCACAGCCTTGGGGCTAAGAGCACAAACTGCTTGGGGTAGGGACCCCAAGACCCACCTGCCACCTGCCATCTCACAACTACCCCAATGCTCTCGAATGCTGAGAATCCAGAGTTCACATTCCCTGTTCTTGTGCCTCATTTCAGGACCACCACTTCTGGGCTGGCTCTCTTTCTTCCTTCAGCATCAAATGAAATGTTATCAGCTGGCTGTTTACCTGCCCCTGGGCAAGCAATTCACCTGAGAGGGGAGTATGCTGGTCCTGCCCCCTAGCCCCGGATAATAATGCAACCTATGTGTACATCCATAATCCAAACCATCCTTTTTTTTTTTTAAACCCATCCAAAATATTTCCTTTAGTTTCCAGGTTTCAATTAAGCTTTTTTAGGTTTTTTTTTCTTTTTCTTTTTCTTTTTTAGGTTTTAAATCAAACATTGGCTCTTATAATTTATTCATGTCTCTTCCCAGCAGAATTCAACTGTTCTTAAGTACTCTTTATAAAGTTGAGTTTGGAGGGGGACATTTGACGGGATGAGCACTGGGTGTTATTCTGTATGTTGGTAAATTGAACACCAATAAAAATTAATTTATTAAAAAAACAAATAAATAAAAAGTTGAGTTTGAATAGTGAACATTTAAATGAAAGTAAGAAGCTACCTTTCTATGTGAAGTAATCTGAAATCTTAGAGCAAACTATCTTATCTAATGGCTCTGAAGTATAAGGAAACCTAAAAGGAACTTTAAAGATTAACCCCCAAATAGCTTTCCCAGTTTCATTTAACTCAATGAAATTTCATTTAAATGAAATTATCCCAGGGTGTAAAATAATAAGTAAAATATAAAGGCAGTTCAGAGCAAGAAAATAGGAGCAAGCTGAGATCTCCAATTTGCATGTGGTACTATGCAAATTATTTTTATGACCTACTTTCATACATGTTTAATATGATAGAAAATAAGGTCTAGGGATCCCTGGGTGGCGCAGCGGTTTGGCGCCTGCCTTTGGCCCAGGGCGTGATCCTGGAGACCCAGGATCGAGTCCCATGTTGGGCTCCCGGTGCACGGAGCCTGCTTCTCCCTCTGCCTGTGTCTCTGCCTCTCTCTCTCTCTCTCTGTGTGTGTGTGACTATCACAAATAAATAAAAATTTATTAAAAAAAAAAAGAAAATAAGGTCTACTGTCAAAACTTCCCATTCATTCTATAAGCTTGAAGCATAGCTGGTGGGCTCCCCTCTGTTCTAATCAAGCGGCTGAGCAACTAATTTCCCAAGGTTCGGCCTCCTGGTTTAAATCACAGCCCAACCAGCACCTCTCCCTCGTCTCTTACCTGGAGCAATCATTTATGTAGCAAACATATACTGAGCGTCTACTGTGTGTTCCAAACTCTACTGATGCACACTCTTCATCGAACCCATAGAAGAATGTTTCCATTATCCTGACTTTATTTGAACCTTTCATTTTTACAAAGAGTCCATGATGATTGTAACTAAGAATTCTTGTTTGGTAAAGTTTGGCATCCATGGTGATCCTCTGGGCACATACTCAAATGTCTGCCCTTCCTTCCCCCCCCCACCCATCACTAATCATCTAGGATTAAGGTTGGCAGTCATTATTCATGTGCCTGAATATAAATCACAGAAGTGATGAAAACCTATCAGGGAAAAACAATCATAAGACGCTGGCCAGGGGCCTCAGTATTTTTGTAAGAGATCTTGCCTAAGAACCTAATCACATAGCTTCCTCGAAAAACCTGTGGAATAGGGTGTTCCCAATAAAAATGACTCTTCCCTGCCTTTTTTTGAGACGTATATTGATAAGTTCACATCTGGATGTGAATACTACTACACTTGGTGAAGTAGTCTCATTACTTCATATTTGCCCTTCTATAGAAAGCTTTCGAAATTCACTTGTATATTCAGGTCATTTTCAGCCTGAATAACTGAATATTACTATTTCCCACAATTGTGATGAAATTGCACTGTTTTCACAAGAATTCCCTTTTCCTTCTTTCTTTTTAATGTAGAAGTACACACCGATTTACCATTGGCACAAAATATAAAGATCCAAAAGTGGCCATTCATCTTGGGTCACTCATCGTAAGCGTCCATAAAATTTCTAATATGCTTGTTGTTCTTTTTTTCTTAATTCTTAATATTCTCTCTGTGATAAGGATGCTATATGTAATTCTAGCTGGAAATCATTTGCTTCACCAAGAGGATCATCGTCATGATGAAAATTGAAGTTGCCAACTTCCCACAAGCACAATGAGAGACAAAGTGGCCCTGGCCACTCCTGGTGATATGCAGGTACCCACCGTTACATAACAGAGCAGTCTGAAATGATGGTGAGAGACCAAATATAGCACCTGTTAAACTCTGCAGCCATCCGTAGCTTTGTGTTGCTGAAAAAGCCTCGGCCACTTGCAAGAGTGTTTTGTGTTCTTCTGCGATAAAAATCCACTTACCCTAAAGAGTAGAGGCGGCATTGCTTGTTGCGGATTTGATGAGCTAAGCCAAACCTGTCATCAAGACAGACTGACCAGGGCTTCTTTGCAGGGCTGGAGTCAGTAGCTAGGCTGTCTGTGCTCATGTGACTGCATGCAATCTGTAAGGATTGGAAATCAATATGAATAATTTAAAGCATCGGATGATAAATGGCAGGTAGGGAGTTATGCTTCCCCAGTCCCTGAAAGCCAGAACAGGAGAGTTATGTCCTTCTCCACTGCTAACCACACCTCTCCCCCCTGGGAAACACAAGACTGCTGTCAAACGTTCAGAGGAACTCCAAAGGCTGGGTTAGAAGGAACCCTGTGGAGACTAGAGATAGGTTTGAAGCAAAGTTAAGAGCTACTACAGCACAGATTTGCAAGGGAGAACAAGTCAGGAACAAAGGTGGCAGAGAGGAGGGGTCCAGAAAGGCTTAGCAGAGGTGTGTTAGCCTTGGAGAATGAACAGAAGCTGACTGAGAAGGGCATTCCAGATACAGAGAACAGCACTGGCAAAACTCAGAGGTCTGTAACCCATCGTGTTCCCACCTGGAACTTGCGAGGTGCGATTGTGGGCACGGGGCTCGGAAGGATACAGATGACCGAGTCCTAATCTTGGGCAGATAAGCTGGGGCCACCATGGTCCAGAAAGGTAGCATGTGTGGTCTGGGGTAAACAGCTGATCGAGGGTCAAGTGAAATGAATTCGTAGTCCCTGCTGCCCCAAACCCTATTCTTTGCAAAACGCTGTGCTAAGGAGCTTCCTCCGGGAGAAGAGCAAGAGCCCCACGCAGGAAGGAAGTTCTTTCTGAGCCAACCAAAGCGCTTCTTTTAACTCATCCATCAAAATTAGACAAGGAAACCAAAGGGAACACGTAACTAAATCAAGCAGAGGCAAGTCTCTGATTTCAAATGCACGTTAGGCAAAGACACCGACTGGGGAATCCTGACTTGGGTTTAAGGCTGCTGCAGTGTGCACTGACGGAGGCTGCTAGAACCAAAGCAAGCAGGTTCTGGGGCCCTGGTATTCCTCTGTGGCCAGCGTTGCCTTACTGAGCCTCAGTCTCCCCCAGCCCCTCCAAGCGCCCTCATCGTCGTGATGCTCCACGGATCACGCAGCAGCCCCGGCTGTCACATCACAGACAACAGACCACACGTGGCAAATGTTCTGAGGCTCTTTAATTCATCAGGAAGCCTAACAGCAAATTCTTTTCTTCCTAAGAAGGTACTCTAGGTTTGCCCAATTCTCTTATCTAACGGAGTTTCCAACATTCTAATCTGAAAAGCATATCTGCACACAGCTACTACTCAACTGATCCAGCATCCCCCTAACTGGCTGCAACGTGGGGCTGCTGGCCTCGCAAGATCACCCAGCGCTGTTCATCAGAGATAAATGAGAGAGTCCAGTGCTAGGATTTGGACATTTTAGAGGAAAGCTTAACACATGAAAACCTAGATATGTATTCTTTTCCCTCAACCAATGTCTTATCACGGCTTAAAGGAAAATAATAATAATGGAAAATGGAATTGAATCTTCTCTCGAGCAACTATTACAGAATATATTTATTAACGGGGCCCATCAACATGTTAATTTGTATAATTCATTTCCTACAACGCTCCCACAGATAAATGGAAATGATGCCTCTGTGTGCCCACTTCCTAGTCCCCACTCACCCGAGGGAGGAAAGACGGCCGATCTAATTAACCAAAGTTCAGTGTGTTCACTGGGCCTGTCTCACCAGTGGGCGGGCTCCTGTGCCAACTTCATTGTCACTCTGTCCCGCGCTGCCCCGCTGCAGGTGCATAGATAGGCCAGGACAGCTCTGCAGGTCCCGGAGCATACCGGGACAGCTTCTAGGGCAGCTTCCTGCAGTATTTTCATTAAAGTGGTATGAGAATTCCCATTTCTTTGCGTGCACGTCTCCCTAAGGACCTTCATAATGACAGAAAGTGATAGGGACGTGCCCAGGTTCTTGTTCATAACTCCCTCCTAACACCACTGAAACTTAACTCTCGCCTTGTTTCTCAAGGTGTGGTTCCCACCGACATTCTGACCGACCTGGGAGGTACTTAAAAATACAGATTCTTGAGTCCCATGCCATATCTGGAAAGTCAGAATCTTTGAGGCTGATGCCTGGGAAATGCACTGTAATATGCTCCCCCAGGTGATTCTTCGGCAGGAGGTCCTGTGAGCTTACAGATACCCTTTTGTAAAGCCCCACCGCGATGTTCCAGGCCAGCCTCACCTGTGCCTTAGCAGATTAAAGGAAGAGGCTACACCTGGGCCAGAGCTGTAACATGAAAACAGCAGCCCTTCCAAACCCAGCCCTAGCAACAAGCCAGAGAGGCAGGCATCGACCATTAGGGAGAGGCCTCCAGGAAGCAAATAAGGAATAAGGGCCAAGGTTCAGGGCTTTGAGGCTCAGCTGCCCTTCCTTTTAACGCTGGGGAGTTGAGTTTTATTCTATTAAAGGTGACACTTCAAGCATTTCTTCTTCCATAGATTTCATCTTGCACAGATATATCCCCACTGGAAAGACATTCTTTTCCATTCAGTCTCTCTGCTCAGAGTTCGTTCCCCTTTCCTCTCCTAGCTCAAAAATGTAACACAGGAGTTGTTCCCTTTTAACCATTTATTAACCATCTTACGGGCAGACATCAGCTTTTGAAAACAACTAGGAGTACTCAGGTCCTAAAAATTAATTAGATATTGATTTTTTAAACTTTCTTGTTAAGATTTATGGCCAGGGCTTCAATAAACTCTTGCAAGCAAAATAATTGAGGGCAGTAACTCCTAGCTAAGCTCCAACTCCAGTAATTATGTTCTCTCTCTCTCTCTAATTCCCCTTGTAATTTTAGCAAACTAGGCCTGGACAAAGAAGAAGAGACTCCAGGAAAAAGTGATTCTGAAATGCATTTCAGTTATTTAACTTAAAGGGATTTATTTATTTTTTAAGATAGATAGATAGATAGATAGATAGATAGATTTATTTATTTACTTATCTCTAACGCAACATGGGGCTCAAACTCACAACCCCGAAATCAAGTCACATGGTCCACCAGCTGAGCCAGCCCGGTGCTCCTTAAAGGGATTAATTTATTCTCTTTTCATTTGGTATCCCAAAAGATGGAACAGAATTTCTGGCAACCCATAAGTAGAAACTGGCAAAGGGAGCCCTTAAAATGTGGGGACTTCTGGCAAGAATCACTTCAATGATCACCTGCATGTATATGTAATATCATTATTTTGAAAGGCAAAATCTAAAGAAAGAGTTGTATTTTTGTTGCTTTTATCCCAGTGTGTGTGTGTGTGTGTGTGTGTGTGTGTAGCCATAAATATAATAGATACTATTGTTATAAAGTTGTAACATCTGCATCTCCAGGGCTTGGGTTTTTATGTTACTTTTCCAAATAGATAGACGGTAGGTGATTAGATAGATGGATGAACAGATAGATGGATGGATAGGTAGACGTAAGAGAGAGAGAGAGAGAAATCTTTTAAAATCTATTTTTTCTTTTTTAAAACAGCAACTGTTGCTTAGATTAATTTTGTGCTGGAAGGCATGCTTCCTAGAGGCATATGGTTTGGGGGTGGCCATAAAAGGCTGGATCTGGAGCCTTCCCTTAGAACAGAGCACCGTGTTTATGATTTAACCATTTCTTGTTAGCAGCACATAGTATATCACCGACTCCAGAACTCAGAGATGCAATTATCGTCTTTGACATTAGAAAACAATACCTAATTAAACTGAGCTTAATGCTGTGCACACTCTACCAACCACTATATCCTCTGGTGTTTCATTCAAAATTCTGGTCCCCAATCATGCCATCAGGGCCGCTACAATGTGCAAGTCCAGGGGTGCCATCCCATTGCATGCCAGTACAATGGGATGCCACAGTGTCCCCTGCCCTGTGCTTCTGTTTTCAAGCTCCCCTGGCCAGGGGAATCTCCCCCGCCCATCTGTTCACCCCCTATTAGAGAACACGCAACCCTCTTGCAACCTAGCTGTTTGGCAGTATGGAAAGATATTTGATGCAGGTTGTATACCCTAGTCAGCGCCGGTCACAGAACAGGTGCTCAACAAATGCCTGCCGAATGGAGGAATGAATACATCCGTGATGAACACATCAAATGCTGGGCCTTGCTGTACAAGCTTGAACACAGATTTGAGGGAAATCATTTTTTTTATTATTTTAAAAAGCAGCATAACAGGATGGGGGTGGAATTTGCTTTAGTACCTTCAGAGGGCCCCCCCCCCCCGCCCGTTATGACTCACGATTGCTAACAGGAAATTTTAGGTAACAGTGACTCTAATATTCTTCCAGTTTTTCAGGCTTTCATTGTCAAGATGGGTTCTAAATGAAGCCTAAGACAGCCCCCAAACCCACTGCATTACATAGAGAAGGGAAGGGAACACTATTTAGCAAAAGATTCTGATTTAGAATCAGTTTTGGGGCCCCTGGGTGGCTCAGTTGGTTAAGCATCTGCCTTTGGCTCAGGTCATGGTCCGGGGTCCTGGGATCGAGCCCCATGTCGGGTTCCCTGCTCAGCGAGGAGCCTCTTCTCCCTTTCCCTCTGTCCCTCTGTGTGTGCGCGCTCTCTCCTCTCTCTCTCTCTCTCTCTCTCTCTCTCTCTCTCTCTCCAGTGCTCTCTCGCTCTCTCTCAAATAAATAAATAAAATCTTTTAAAAAAAGAAAGAATCAGTGTCATCTCTGACGAGCTCTCACCTGCTGGCTTCCCAGTGACCTAGAAGTAGAGAAAACCATAGTGCTTCACCTGAGTAATCGACCCCTGATTACGAAATCACAGTGAGGTCTAGAACTCTCAGTTTTTCTGGAGGATGAAAATCCTTCTAGTGAGCTCCAACAACCAAACCTTTATCATCACGCTCATCAAGCTGAATAATACAGCCCTTTATCTACCTTCCCAACTAGTTTGTCAGCTGCTTGAAGCCAGAGACTGTATTCCCAGGGCCTGGCACAGTTCCTGGCACAAAGTACGTGCTCAAAGACACTTAGTCAATAATGATCCTATGCTACTCTGGGTACAGTGCAGCTCAGAGAACTGGGAGAAACCTGAGAAATAATTCAATAACTCTCTTCCTTTTTAAGAGCAGAACAGTGAGAGAAGCAAAGCAAATTGCCCAGGGTCACATCAGACTACATTGCAGGATGCTTTTCTTTTCCCCTCAAAATTTTTCTCCTCTCAATTTATAACTCATGGGAAAAACCCAAGAGGGGCTTGAATAACACCCTTTCATGCCTCACGAATATGCCTTTTATAAGTTACAGAACATTAACCTGAAATACATATAAAATAAAATTTGGAGACTTGTACTTGGTCAATTTATTTTGGGGGGTGGAGTCCAGAGTTCTCAAATCCAACTCATAAATTTAACACCTCTCATTTTCCTCTGGTGCCTTAAGGGCTTCTTAAAGTCACAGTCGAGAGGTCCTTCATGTAAAACCCAACTATAAAATTAAAATTTCAGCATTTTAATTAAGTCTGTGAAAGTCCACCAAATTAATTTGCAGCAGCAAAATAAGATGAAATTATGTTAAGCACAGGGATCAATTTATCATCTCATAACTCATGATTAATTCAGCAAGCTTTTACTTCCATGTCTAGGTGACAGATAACTAAAATCCCATTGTCTGACTGCATCATATGAAAAATGGGACTTTCTTTTACCCCTAAACTAGCTTTCTAAAGATCTAGAAACATATTCTCTCCAAGGATAAAAAATGAGCTCTGCTGCCAGGAAGGTTTTGGAGGAGAAGTGGGATGCCCAGAACCAGTGGGCTGAAGGGACAGCAAAAGAGCCCGGGACCTCCAGTGCCACACCAGCTCCCGGGGCACCTTCCTCCCCGTCAGCCTAGGCATCTTCTAGACAGTGTGAGTTCCTAATTTACCAACACCTCTCAGTTCAGGGCTAAGTGTCCCTCGGGCCTTGATCTTCTCTTATGTCTCTCTGTCCCCAGGATCAGGCTACATGAGAATAGAATCTCCCGACTCACGTGTCAAGAGCCATAGACTCTGCTTAGTGGATGTCCCTTTACTTGCCGGGGGCGCACAGACTCAGCTCAGGCAGGAGCTGCCACAATGTGTTAAGTCACTGATAAAGGCCGATGCTCCATCATGATTTTAAATGCCCTAAGATCTGAGTGCCTTTGGATTCGTTAGCTTCTCACACCACTGCCTGCAACATCTCCTCTGCTCTCTGGCCTAGTGGGTCCCAGCCTGCCAAGCATCTTGGGAGAAAAGCAAAAAAGGCAGATTCCTCCAAATGCAAAATGGAACTTGAACCTCCAGATGATGGTTTTGTTTTGTGACACACTTGACTGCCTACTCACGGGCATGAATCTGTCGCTTCAAATGGTTTTCCAAAGCAATTTACTAAAGTGGATCTTTAAAACACGTCGGGATGAATCATTAAAACATCTCAAGATGATGATACCCCTGGAAGGCGGAAGATGCTGAAGCAAGTGGAAGGCATCTTATCTGCCTCTAAGTAAATGGATAAATTTAAGCAGCAAGGCCTCAGAAACTGTGTCCCTACCAAGTCCCTATCAGGAGTCCCTGAGAACCTTACCACCCCTTCACTGATCAAATCCTTCTCTAAAAAGGGTGTATCAGTATCTTTCACAGTGTTTCCAAACCCACTTGCTCCTGGAATACAACCTGGGGGGTGCTGATGTATCTCAGGAACCTCAAGACTTCTTCATCCAGGGATTGAGCAGGGCCTGCCCACGGCTGGAGATCTATATGCCACCGGGGACCCTGTGAAAGATAGAAAACAGGTCCATGTATAAGGGCTTGAGGCGCTAGGGGTGGGGGTGACAAGGACACAGAATATCAGCTAGGCTCCCTGGCTGCTTTAGCTGCCTGCAAAATGAACATGTCTGCACACAGGCAGTGGGGAGTTGGTTCAGAGCTGCTGTCATTAAGGTCACATCAGTCACAGGAAAGCAAACAAGGCCTGAGAAAGCCCAGCTACTGGGCTAATCAAAAGACTACAGAGGCCTGGGGACATCTGACTCTTCTGATCAAAAGCAAACTCCACTTGATCCCATGAGGCTCTCCCAACTGTGGCTTCGTATCACACAATCCACTCCCCATATGAAGAAAAACTCCCCTATCTACTACAGTTTCCAAAGCTTAGAGCTTCAGAACTATGCATGCTCTTCACTCAGGTATTGCCATGGCCCGAATGCATGTGCCCCCCTCCCCCATATTCATAGGTTGAAATCCTAATGACCAAAGTGATGGTATGAGGAGCTGGGGCCTTGGGGAGGTGCTTAGGTCACGAGGGGGAGCCCTCCTGAATGCTATTAGTAGTCATAAAAAAAAGACCCCACAGAGCTCCCTAGCCCTTCCACCATGTGAGAACATGGCAAGAAGGCAGCAACCTGAAAGAAGGCCTTGACCGGAAGCTACCTCTGCTGGCCACCCTGACCCGGGACTTCCAAGCTCCAGAACTGGGAGCAGTGAATCTCTATTGTGTATAAACCACCCAGTCTGTGCTATTTTGTTATGGCAGCCCAAACAGACCAAGACGGGTATTGAGACAAGAATTGCCTGTCACCCAAACAAGAAATACCTAAACAGGCTAACCCTGATAGGCTTCAGTATAAACCGGAGGGGGGGTGCCCCTAAATGGGGTGGCCTGGGTGACTGGGTTCTACTGAAAGCTAGGAGGAGTGGGAGAGCAAGCAGGTTGGTCAGCGTCCAGCCGGGTGTGTGGGCTTAGGAAAGAGGAGCGGCCCTGGCGTGAGGGTCTGAGACAAATGCCAACACTTCATAAGTGATAAGCCTCGTTCCAGGTAAGACATTATTATTAGGTTCCAGACAGGTCTGTCCCTTCTGGTAGTAGCTAAGCGCCCTGCCACTCTCTGATCCCCAACCCCCCCAGGCCACCTTCTTCTCAGCTGCCAGTTTCCTGGGTGTGCACCCTGTGCCATCTCAGAGGGGCCTGTGCCAGGCTCAATGCTCTGCTGATGCTGTCCTGAAATTCTTTCATTACATTTTTGATTCAAGGGTCTCACATTTTCATTTTGCCCTGAACCCCACAAATCACGTAGCCAGTCTGCCCCGAGGGGCACCCTTCCTGGGAACCCAGACTTTCCTTGTAGCTGTTGCCATTCTGTGAAGGTTGAGCAGGCAAAGACTCTCATCAGAGGAAGCCAGAGAACATTAATATATCTTCCCAGTTAATGCCTTCCACCACTGTCCCCCGTCTTTTTTCCTCTTCTCTGAAGTAGATGTGGATTACCATTTGGTCTAACAATTATTGAGCACCAGTCACTGTGTGCCAGACAGTGGTCAACACAGATATGAACAAAACCTGGACTCTCTCGAGAAGTACAGGCTGGTGGGGGAGACAGATACACATAAACCGACTTTGACAGGGGAAGGCTGAAACATTAGGGAAAGCAGTTCTTTTCAGGAGATTATTTAATTATGAAATCATGAATTACATGCACAGTTAAATACAAATACTTCCCAGTTTTTCTTGGTCACATTTCTTCTGACATCAAATGACGGAGTGCCTTACCAAGTTACCACAACACTGTGCTTTGGGCAAACTTGTCTAGGCCTGGGGTTCAAACTCCCCATGTCCCCACCATATGGCCACTCACAAGTGCCCCCAGCCTCTGGCCCAGGAGCCTCTTGATAAAAATGATTAAGTCCACCCACAACGGTCTTCCTCTAAATCGAGGATCAGTAACCTCTTTCTGTAAGGGGTAAAACAGCAGATATTTTAGGTTTTGCAGGCCATACAGTTTGTTGCAATTTCTGGCCTTCTGCCGCAGCTCAAAAGCAGCCACAGACAGTAAGTAAGCCAACGGTCATGGCTGTGTTCCAACAAAACTCCATTTACAAAAATAGGTTGCAGGCTGGATTTGGCCCACAAGGCTGTCGTTTGCTGACCCCTGATAGAGTTGATTCTAATTTGGAGGCAGACTGGCCTAGGAGAGAGCATTTACTCAAAATAATGCAAGAGAGATAGATTACCATATCTAGATTATAACTAACTTTGTCATCTGGGTGACTGGGGCAAATGCAAGTCAGAGTTCTAGCAGGATACAATGGGCTCCTTCCAACTGGCGAATTTGAGAAGAATTTAAAGAAAGACTATTTATAAAGGTGTGGCCAGGGTTTAAGGAAACTGATAAGAAGAATGCGATGCCTATGGTTGATAGGACCTGAGAGCCCTCACAAATCCTAGGCCTGAACGAGGAGGAAGAGAAATTTGTGGAACCCAGAGAGGGCAACTGGATGGAGAAGGCATTCAATAAAGGAACAAAGCCAATCCCATCACATCCAGTCCTATTGTATACCCACACTGTCAAAGCCAAGAAGAGGCAGAGATGAGAGAGACTACGGTTAGCCTCTGAGGGGGGGAGGCGGGGGGGGGTGTAAAACAAGACCAGAGTGGAAAGTGGAGAAGCAAACAGAAGGTCTCCTGCATAGCTTCCTTTGGAAAGAGGTAAATGACACTTGACCAGGGACTCATTCATTCATTCAGTGGGCATTCGTGCCTCATGCCAGGCTCTGGGTTACGGTGTAATACAGGATAACTTAATAATACAGCTTTAGGGATCCCTGCGTGGCTCAGCGGTTTAGCACCGCCTTCAGCCCAGGGCCCGATTCTGGAGTCCCGGGATCGAATCCCACGTCGGGCTCCATGCATGGAGCCTGCTTCTCCTTTCTGCCTGTGTCTCTGCCTCTCTCTCTCTCTCTCTCTCTCTCTCTCTCTCTATCTCTCATGAATAAATAAATAATTAAAAAAAATAAGGTGTTCAAGTAATGATACACCCATTAAAAAAAAATAATACAGCTTTAACCCAATAAATGCAACACAGTCTGTAGGGGGCTCTGACAGATGTCTCTATAGGGCAAATGGGGTCACAAAGAGATGGTTGGCCCAAATATAACCCCAAGATAAATGCCAAAAAATACAAATGCAGATTGTGGAAAGCAGTCTCCACTGCAAGAAGCCCCAAGGCTTCGTTAAAGAGACACCCTAAACACAGCAGGAGCCACTTAACCTGAGTCAACACGCGAAAATAACTTCCCAAATCAATAACAATGAGTCCACATGGTGAAGCTGTGTGGGGAAACTACAGGATTATCTTCAGGATCCTAATTGCAATCTGATATTTCTCATTTCCGACTGAGTGTTGACCATGATGAAGCTCAACGTGGCAGCTGGAACACTGAAGCTCAGTCGAGGAATCGCAGGTGAAGGTATAATAGAAACACACAGCCAAGAGGTGCCCTGGACGTGCTCTGGCTTAATGCTCTGGTTGAGCTGTTTAAAAAACATTTCACATACAAGTAATGTTCTTATTGGAATCAGCCTGACAGCAGTTCGTGATTATTTCCCCAAGGAAACCACTTGCTTTTATCATCTCTTTCAATTATCATTTGTCTTAATTCTCCAGTGCACACATCAATATTTGTCCTTCCCAACAACCCGCTGACAGAATTTTCTGGGCACCTTAAAACACCCATGGCTGGTGTTTCATAGAACAAGGCAAAAACAAAACAAAAAACCTTTTAAAAAAATTATGATTTTATCCCCAAACAATTCCCTAATGCCAGCATACACTATTAGCCATATGCTCCAAATATCATGTGGCCAGAACGATGCTACTCCCAGCACTCCCAGGAAGTGGAGACCTGGATTCCCAGTCCTGTCTGCCACCCCCGCTTCCTCCCGAGATGGATAAAGGAACAGCTTCTGCAGAAGGGGGTGGCTGCACTGTCATTCGGGGCTGGTCCATCTGTCCCTGGCTGACTTGGGCTAACATGTCAATAAGCTGCCACAGAGAAGTAGCCAAACTCTTGAGCCACTGCAGGGATGAGGGTCCCTCTACTCCTTTGCAGCCCAGGGACCTGGGGCCCGAACCACCAACCTCCATTCCTACAAAGGAGGCCCTCCCCCAGCATGGACAGTGGCTCAGGGAACACAGGTATCCAGACTTCCCAGGAGAAGCAGCAGCCCCCACTTTGTGAAGGTTTTATCTGGCACTTTCTCTAGGCAAATGTGCATTGAAAAGTGAACTGGCTTCCTCTAGTATGTTTTGGGTGCAGAGAAAAAATTTGCAAAAAGTAAGATTAAGGACAGCAAAAGACATATACTGCTAACTCATGTTGTTCTGAGGCTGTTTTGCAGACATCCAAGATTCTGCATCCCACAGGGTAGGAAAAAAAAAAAATCACTGAGTCAGTCCAAGCCAGTGCACACAGATAATGGACCTGGCTCAAAGGACCACAACAAGCATAGCCGTGGGGTTCTCAGATATTTTTACGATTTATGATTTCAGCGTTAAACTTGTTTCTTTAAAAAAAAAAAAAGGATTCTTTCAAGCCAAAGAGACTGAATTCCAAGATTTTACTATTAAAAGATAATGCAAAAAATAAAGCAATGTTTTAAAAATACTCTTTTGCCTACCAGCCTACACTTATGCACGTAATAGGAATGTCTTACTTCAAGACCACAAGCCCCAAGCAAAACTGGTTGCATGGAAAAAAAGAAATTAAGAAAAGCAGACCCACCCATGACCCAGAAAGAGAGCCATCAAGTCTGCCTCGTGCAAGAGCTTTCCTTGTCTTGAAATTTGGAGTAACAGCGTCTCTTCCACGGGCAGTTCCCCCACGTACATGAATGACTTCATGGAGCCCCATAGAAACTGTCAGAAAAGGGCACCTGGGTGGCTCAGCGGTTGTCTGTCTTTGGCTTAGGGTGTGACCCCGGGGCCCCGGGATCGAGT